TTTCAATACTGTAAACATATGTTTGTGTATATATATATAGGGAGAAAGAAAACATATATATGTATATATGTATGTGTATCTACATGCGTATATATACTGTATAGCAAAAAAATTTTTTTTTAAAATAAAAAAAAAAAAAAAAAAAAATATTTTTTTTTTTTTATAAAAAAAAATATATATATATATATATATATATATATATATATATATATATATATATATATATATATATATATATATATATATATATATATATATATATATATATATATATATATATTTAACAAACAGATTTATAAAAAAAAATAATAATAATAATAAATAAATCAGCGAAAATGATAAATGCAGGACCATAAATGCTGAATGCAGTTTGGCCGAAAATTGCACATAAGGGTAGTATAGTACTTTCGCTTCCCCAGGGGGGTATGTCAAAGGTTTATCCCTAGTTTATTTGGTGGCTAGGGGGGTATGTAAAATAACCCCTATATACTGCTCGTCCCGATTGCCGATATAATATGCGTCAAGAGTCTCTCCGAGTCTTCTTCTTCCATGATTCTTCTTCAGCTCACTACCTACCTACCCCTTCTATCGTCTGTTTACGTGTTTGGATGAGCTCACGAGCTCGACAACCACATATCACATAGATATCGTGTAGCGAGCTATGTACTACTGAACTTTTCTTCTAGCGAACTTCTAGAAGAGTTCATGTCGTTGATACATATTGGGTCAAAGGACCAATAAATCAATCTCAACCTATATATTCTTATCTTTATATTGTTTAAGAAGCCCAATATAAAGAGTTTGACCCAACCTTACTAAACTGACCCCCATCAGTTATTATTTTATATTAACCTTGATGCTGTCATTTTCTTGGACAGTGACCATACTAATTACTAATTAGGATAGATAATTAAAGATTAGTGAAGAAGATTTGTTTGAGCTTTTGGTCGAATGAAAAGATTATGAGTATCTACTCATTTTGTCCTTTAGCTAATACAAAAGGACCATGAGCCGCATTACATATTTTTTTTTACTATACTATAAATTCTTGCACTCAAATTTTCTTTTGCATTCCTGCAACGTGTACTCTCTAAATCATTTTTATTTTTTTATTTTTTTATATTAGAGTCCAAATTTAAATATTCTTTCTCTCTTATTTTTAATTTGTATCATTAGAAAATAAAAAAAAATAAAAAAAATTAAGTGTATGCATTACCAAAAAAAGAAAAGCCAACTATACTCCAAGTTTGCATTTTATGAGGTGATTCAATGTACCTAGCCTGTTATGGGGATAGTGAAAGTAATATTAAATGAAATATTAAATTTGCAAATTGCAAGATTGACTAATAAAAGATCTATTTTAAACTAATCCATTAATTAATTAATTAATTCTTACAATTTCAAGAAGGAATTTTTGACTGTTTCTTTTCTCATGCTAACTTGATCATGATCACCTTTTAACCATGGTTTGTACATAATTTAATGACAGTGGATGAACAACTTGTGGTGATCTTGATTAAAACCAGTTTTAATTTATTCATGATAATAATGTTGCTACACTAGGATGCAACTTGCAAACCCCTTTCGATTGCTTGTTCAATTTTCCAACTAACAGTCGATTAATTGTGTTTTCGTTTTCTTAATCATATGTACGAGATGATACACCTGATGAAATATATTAGGTGATTTTGAACTGCAAATTTATATAAATAACTACAAACTTAGCACGTACAATACATACACATGCATGAGTGTGTGTTATTATATGTACGTAGATTAATGGTTTGAAATTACACGATGTGTATATTTCATCGGGTGCATTATACACGAAACGTCCCAATGTAGAGAGTGACAAGAGAAAAAGAAAATGAAAGGTGAATTATATATTAGCTCCAAATGTGAAATATGTGGCCCTTGGAGAGTGAAGTGAAAAGGAAAGGCTTCTAGCATCTTTATGCCAAGACATGCAGTCACAAATTTTGAAATTATTGCCCCTTTTTTGCTATAATAATTATTATTTGGTAATAATAATTCAGTTTGATTTTTATCACCTGAGGGACAATTATTAATTATTAATTAATACTAATTATTATGGTGATACAAGTTGATGAAAATGAGTCGCTACCGACGTGACGAATTGTGCGGACAAAAATCTATCCACAGTGGATTGATTATTGGGATTTTTAACATAGGGTTTTTTTTGGGGTTTGATTTTAGCAAATAAATCAAATAATTAAGGGGTTAAGATATAGGTCTCTGGTGACAAAACTTATTAGAACTAAATGACAAGTCTAACTAAACATTTGCTTCACATCCTTTATAAATTTCATTCCGAAAATGCCCTCCATATACAAAAAATGAAATATGCACCAAATAATATTTAAACTGTATTTATCATTTTTTTCGTTCTGCATTTAACATTTTTCATTTTTTTTATCAAGTATTTTGTTTTATTTTTATTAGAACACGTTGATTTTTTTTTTTTCGACAAAATCTTGAAAATTATGATTTTTTAAATTTTTTCGACCGTAGTCTTTTATAGAAATCCGTAGGAAATCGTAGTAGTCCGTAGTCACGTATAGAAACTCGTAGGAAACTGTAGTAATCCGTAGTCACATATTCTTAAAACCCTAATTCATCTTTTCAACCCTAGCCGTCAGACACCATAGACACCCATAGACACTCACAAACATCTATAGACATGAAATCGGAAAATTTTAGATCCACCCCACCAAACTGTAGATCTCCTCCACCAAACCCTAGATCTGCGACGCCAACATCACCCACGCCACTCCACATCCCACCCCCAACATTGATCGCCACCGGCACCATCCCTCAACCACCGAGTGCCGCCGCCCATCGAGCGTCGCGCCTCCACCGAGTGCCGCCGCCCATCGAGCGTCGCGCCTCCTCCGAAGCCGCCGCTGCCCAACGAGCGTCGCGCCTCCTCCGAAGCCGCCGCTGCCTAGTTGTCGCTAGATCCACCACCAACCATAACCGTTTCCACAACCAAGCCCCTCGCCCAGAGTTTCCACCATACACAGTGTTTACCCGCTTATGTAACCAATCCACTTCTTCACCGTCGACTAATTAATAGATCTATCAAAAATAAGAAAAAAAAATAGAGAAAAGGGGAGATGTTGGGTTGGCGGAGGAGATAAATGTATGAGAGAGAGAGATAGAGGGGGGAGTGGTGTTGTGGAACGATGGAGAGGGAATGGGTGGGTGGGGCCGCCGCTGAAAGAAAAAAAAAGTAGAGGAGAAAGAGGAAAATGAAACCTAATATTATATTGGTTATATTGAAGGGTATTTTTGGGTTAAATAAAAATTAAAGGATGTGGATCAAATTTTATTCGGAATTATGGATTTAGTTAAAATGTTTTAATTGAGGTTGTTCCCCGTATCTAATTAGGTTTGATTTAGGGGTGTCAAGCATATTACCCCCAATAATTAATTAAGGGCAATTTGATAAAATCTAATTAAATGACCCTTTAATATGACGAACAAGAGACCTCTCGACGATCTCTTTCTTCTAACGATCCTTCTAGTCAATATTCAAGGGCTTTTTGGATATTTGATCCGCCCAACTCGCTAGGGCTCAAACAAACATTGTCCACTGATTGAGAGTTTGACCCAAATTTACCAAACTGACCCCGTCAATATTAAAATTCAAAATCATAGAAGATGAGAGAAATTTATGAGGAAGTTGACAATAACACAATTGGACATACTAGAAAGGTTTTCAATAGATGAATGCTAGAGACCATGTGCAGTTACCTAAATAAAATATTAATTACTGAGATTAGTCGTAAATATGAACCCAACTTTGTAATTGTAATTGAAGTTGTGTTGAATTTCAAAAGTTTAATTTCAGTCATTTAACTTATGAAAATGCCCGAAATTGACCACAAAATTAGCACGTGTGAAATAAATGATTTAACTGAAAAGCTAAACGGCTCCAAACACGAAGCCAAGCCGCGGCATCAGTCCACAAAGCTGGACGCCGCTCTAGTATGAAACCAAATCCAATGTGCCAAGTCAGCACACAGTAAAACCCCCCTAGAAAACACGCACACACAGCTTTGCACCAGAAAAAGGATTTGCTCCCACCCCCGGTGGTCCCCACCCTCCAACCCCCCCCCTCCCCTCCACCACCAGCTGAAATCCATATATATAATACTTTTGATTTTTCTTCTCTCCACAAATCGCACCATTTCTTCTTTCCTAAACAATTTCTACCCCTCAACGAAAAACAAAAATCTTCTCTTTTTCCAATTTCAATGCTGGGTACCGCTATCCTCCCTGCAAAACCCTGCTTTCTCCCTCTACATCAATCCCTCCGCCGCCAGATGTTCGTGCGCGCCTCCGTGGCCTCGGTGGCGCACCCCTCGGCGGCGCCGGACAGAAGGTGCCTCTACGAGGTCCTCCGTGTCAGGCGAAACGCGTCGCCGGTGGAGATCAAGACGGCGTACCGCACGCTCGCCAAGCTGTACCATCCCGACGCGACCTCGAGGTTCCTCGATTCGTCCGCCGCCGCGTCGTCGTCGGACGGCGGAGATTTCATCGAGATCCACAACGCGTACGCGACCCTGTCGGATCCCGACGCGAGGGCGGCGTACGACTTCAATTTGAACGTTAATTCGCAGCGCCGGTTTAGCACCGGTGGGTACCGGAGTCCGGGTCGGGGCAGATTTCAATCGACCCGGAGATGGGAAACGGATCAGTGCTGGTGATGTGGCCACTATATACGTTGCTTATTATCTATGTATCATGTGCCAATTGCTGAGGAAAAAAATCAAATTACTGTGTAAATTCATTCATTGCCTTCTTTTGTTTATTTTCATTTTTTATTTTCAATTTTAGGGAAAACTTAGCATTGTAGTTGAAAATGTGGATGATGAGAGAATTCTTGTGGTTGTAACCAATTCCCATCTGAGCACCGCTAATATTTTTAATTAGAAATTATTTATAAAATTTAAAATCGCTAACTCAATTTAAAGTCCACTAATCAAGAATGTTTAAACATCCAAATATAATCAAAAACATTGTTCCTTATTGAATTTGGTCAAGACAAAACTATTTGGTATAACTACCCACTAAACACGCATAAACACGGGTGTGTGCGTTACTATGTGTCCGTTGTATCACTGAGTGTATAGCATCTACAACTCTTTTATTGAACTCCTTTGTTTATTAAAATAGAAAACCAATGCAATTTACTTAACCAGAATATAAATAAAAACCTAATCAACCAAAAAAAAAAAAAAGTTAATAAAAATAACTGCAATTTAACACACCTAACTAAACCACCGACATAAAGTTTCAGCCAAACAAACGGCATTGAAGCTTGGGAAAAATGTTGTGCAGCAACCAACCAGCCATGATTCTGTACCCTTTTTGAGTCAAATGCACACCATCCCAACTCATGTACCTGTGTGGGTCCTCGCAAACCGGAACACCGTGGGCCCCACACATCCTCGTCATGTTGAAGTTGTACTTTCCTCCGATTCCACAACATGCCTTTTCTGTCTCGAATCCTACATTCGTCCGTATTCCAAATTTAATAAAGTTTCAGAAGATAATAATTAATAATGTAGATTTGCATATAGAAGGAAACACTTGTTTATAATTAAGACGTACCGTGATATCTAGCAACTTTGAGGAGGAATTCGTAAGCGTTGTAGTAATCACCGTAGACTACTATTGCATTTGGCTTCTCTTGCACGAGCTTTTCTATGGCTTCTTGCAGTTGTTCGTTGTGGTATTTTGCAAACTCGTTTAGCTGCTTCAAACATTGGGAATCGTCGTATGCTGTAGAGATGTTGGTTTGGAATGCTGTTTTATATATTGGCAGACATCCAATAGGGAAATTTCCAGGAATCACCACTCTTTTAGCCCCTGAATTAATTACTCTCTGCAGTAAATCAACATGACGAATATTGTTATAAATTAATTAAAAACTTTATATAATATATAATCATCGAATCAACTAATTAATTACCCTAGTTGCGTTCATAACGGCATCAACAACTTCCGGGACCATGCTTCTCAACTCGTCCATTGTTTTTCCTTGGAAGATGGCGTAGTTGTAATCGTTTCCTCCGATTTCTCCAACCATGAAAAGTGCATGTCGGAGTTTCTCAACACAATCTATCGAGGACATAATTAGAATATCAATTGTGTTTAAATCAAAATTATTAATTAAGTAACAAGGATGATTAATAGATATTAACCTTTATCATCAAGACAAGTGGAATTGAAATGGCTAAACATCCAGTCCAATTGGACATTGAGAGAACTGGCTGTCACCGGAGAGAACACGTGTTGACTCGCCAACACCTCCGTCGGCAAAGCGGTGGAACCTGCCACCGCAAAGTTGACTCCATGGTGCCCGAAATCACGAGTAGCGTTCAAGTTTTTGTAGGGTGGCAAAAGTGGAACTCCAGCAGCCATTGCTGTATTACGTATTACATCACGACAGTTAATATTTTTTTTGTCATACAATATATAGTGAATTAAATTAGAAAATTACAACGCTACCGAAATAATCAATCATTAGAAGGCCGTTGGAGCAGCGACCGGTGGCGTTCTTGAAGAACGTTTCGCCGTACGGAAGTTTGGCGAATGGGGTGGAGGCCCCCACGGGGAACTCGCGTACCAAGTTTCCGGTGTCGGAAATCGAGTCGCCGAGTTGGTATATCTTATCGAACCTGCAAATTCTGAAAGGATGAGCATTGTGGCATGAAAACAAGAAACATAAAGCAAGAACTAGGAACACTAATTTCTGGAGATTAATGTAAGTCATCTTGAAAGTATATTGCAACGTCAGGTAAAAATATGTAATATATGTATAGTTGAATAGAGTGCTGTGTTATGGATATTGTTTATATAGGAAGATTAGGGGGCTCTAAATCCTAATTGTATTAGGATTAGATAACTGTGTCCTAATACACCTTGTCTTCTGCTAATTAAAACTTTGATCAATTTAAGTATAACATTAATTCCTAGTTGTGTAGTAGATTAGGAGTTTTACAAATACGAACCGCCACGTGTCCCATTAGTATTATGATTATAATCGTACTGCATTAGTACTGGATTATAAATCCGTATAATTTTGCAATATATAATTAAAAATTAATTTTAATGCAAACATAAATAATCGACAATTAATTAAAAAAAAAATTCCCTCACATACATTAATTTTAAAATTGGTGTACACAATAGTACACATTGCCCACTGAATTACAAAGTTATTAGTTATAATTACCACTTTTGATAACGAAGCAACCCGCAACTAATTCCATATGTGCACTTTATAAATCTACACTATCGTATAATAGTTTGAAAACTACAAGAGACGTAATTATAATGTTGACAAGAGAATTCAAACTTGAATTAAGGGTTAAATACAAAAACACCCCTGTACTATGGACTTTGTATCATTTACCCCCCTATACTACACATAAATACAAAAATCCCCCTGCTATTATATTTTTTCCAAAATATGACGAAAATACCCCTGCTAAACCTATAAATATAAGGGTTTGTTTGAGCCATTTTCCACTATATTTTTTAACATTTTCCGTCAATTTTATTTGGGAAATTTTTATTTTTTTTATTTTTTCCTTTAAAACATTTAATTACTTAGATTTTTTTTTTTTAAATTTTCTGAATAAAAACCTTTTATTTTTGTCATTTTTAATTTTTTTTAAATATCTTCCGGTAGTTCAAATTATCAACAATAATAGGATTGTAAAGATGTTTGTAATCTTAGGATTTTTGAATTACCGGAAGACATTTAAGAAAAAAAATGAAGAAACTCAAAACAAAAATAAAAGGTTTTATTTAGAAAAAAAAATATAAGCAGTCAGATGTTTTGGAGAAAAAAATATAAATACCAAAATTTTCAACGTAAATTTGACTGAAAATTGTAAAATATATAGTGGAAAATGGCTCAAAATATATATATATGCTTGAGTAGGGGTATTTTCGTCATATTTTGAAAAAAATGCAATGTGAGGAGGGTTTTATTTATGTGTAGTACAGTGGGTAAATGATACAAATTCCATAATACATGAGTTTTTTTGTATTTAACACAAGTTCACCTGCTTCAATTGCTACTGGTAGACCATCCCTGCAAGATCGAAGTTATTAACTATCAATTACCTCCCTTTGTAATTCACCAAAAAAATTAGTCCTCCCTTTGTGAAATTTTATTTAGCAAAACATAATTTTCTTACATTGTTTATTGTTTTAAGGAGATTAATTAATATATTCTATATTTGTTATTACCAATTTAATCTTTCTTTTGTGGGGTAACTTATTAATAATTTATTTATTTATTAATACTGTTGTATCACGGAACACGAGAAGACACGTCTCTCCTAAGCAAAGTTAAAAAACAGGACCAAATTAAAAGGACAGCGGTGTTTAAGTTTTACCGCAGCCGAGCAGTCGCCGCCACGGTTAATTCTTACTCCTATATATAAAGAAAAAAGTAATTCTTCATCAGTCAACGGCGTGGAACTTAGCTTTGGGGATACTCCAAGAATTCAGAGCTTTCTTTTATTTTTACCTTAATTATTTTATATATATATATATATATATATATATATATATATATTTTTGTTTGGTCGGATAATCTCATACATCGAGGAACTCCAATTGAATCGAGCCGGCGCCGGAGAAAGATGAAGATCACCGTAATGACAGCCGACGAACAAATCGTCACGCTCGACATCGATCGAGACGAATCTGTAATTTCCTCTTTCCTTATTACCTTAAAACCCTCAATTTTTGATTTTTTTTTTTTTTAAATTAGAATGGAATCTGATTTTATATGAATTCGTAACAGGTTGAGAACTTGAAAGCTCTCCTGGAGGTTGAGGTTGGACAAATTCTATCCTTTTTTTTTCGGTTATTGTTTTATTTTGTTGTTGAATTTATATGAATTTTCAAGCTTAATTCAACAATTGAATGCTGAATGAACAGACAAGAGTGCCATTGCAGCAACAACAATTGCTTTATAATGGAAGTGAGATGAGGAATTCCGATAAATTGAGTGCTCTTGGTGTTGGTGATGGAGATTTGGTTATGATGATTTCAAACGCATCTTCTTCTCGTTCCAGGTTTTCTTACATAAAATTTCATATGTCAACATTGAGAATTTTCTTAAGTTAATAGCTTTAAGATTGAATTATTTAGGAATACTATCTGGATGTAATGCTATTGTGTTCGATTTTCTTCTTCATGGTTTTCTGGTAAATACTTGATTTAGGGACATAAGGTATTTTCCTTTGCTTGATTATTGAGTTTTTATTTGGATCTATTACAGAGCCGGAGCACCTGCGAACCAAGCTGTGGGCTTCAATCCCGACGGTTCAGCTGTAAACCCCTCAGCTTTCCAACAGCAGTTGCGTAACGATTCTAATATGATGGCACAGCTATTTCAGGTATGGAAAATTGGCAAAACAGCAATAATTTGTTTATTCCAGTTATCTGAAAAAGAACTGATAAATCTGATGTTCTATTACCATAGATTTTACAAAGGTCAAACTTTTAACAAATGAGGATGTTCAATTTTGTAATGGCATGACTATACAATTGGAGGGAAAAACGAGTACCGATGATAAAGATTAAAAATTTAAGCACTTATTATATGGTTGGGCTTATTAAAGGCTGCCCCTAAAGTCTGTTGTCTATGCCAGTGAGCCTAGTATATTCAGGAACTTGAATGATTATTCGTACTTGCTTTCCCGATAATGACAAAAACATGCTCGTAATACAGCCCTATCACAGCATTCACATATAATTTGACATTGTCCAAACTTCCCCGAGATTCGTTCGCCCATAAGAAGACTGAGTTGTGATTTTGGCCTGAATGTATATCATCTTGATAACCCTATGGTTGTTGACTAAGTCAACTTCTCTCGTCAAATAATATCATGTTGATTTCACCGCGTCAGAATTTTACCAGACGCTTGTAGTGTCATGATTGATCTGAAAAAAGGGGAACTTTCTTCAAGCATAGTGATTTTGACAATTGGCTTCAATGTACATATTTGCATAATTATTTTCTGGCTTTATGACTGTTGGTGTATTTGCAAGTGCTTGATGGTAATTTATTTAAAAATTAAGTCTTTTATTGATACTTCATGTGCTATGTGAACTAATAGAGCGACCCTGAGTTGGCACAAGCTATACTTGGAAACGATCTCAACAAGTTGCAAGACCTTTTGCGTGCACGAAATCGCCAAAGATCTGAATTAAAACGTCAACAAGAAGAGGAGATGGTTAGTATTATATTCAGCTATTCCTTCATCATTGATTTTTTAAGTTATAAATGGTCCTATTATGCCCCAGTTTAATTATGATCAGTTCACTCTACGTTGTGAGCTTTACATAGCAGTTCACTGTTATTTGTCTGTGTGTTTTCTCACTCTTCTATTCGGGAAACTAATGTTGTTATTTTTTTATTTGCGTAGGCTTTGCTTTATGCAGATCCATTTGATGTGGAGGCACAAAAGAAAATTGAAGCAGCCATTCGCCAGGTCAGTAAGATTCCGGTTTTAAAATTCTAGCTAATTTACAATGGTAGATTGACCCGTTGAATGGACCCATTAGAAACTATTGAAATGGATAAGTTTCGTACTCAAGGAATTCTTTGTGGGGTATTAAATAATATGTAAAAACATTCTCTCGCTCTCTCTCTCTCTTTTCCTGTCCTAACAAGTTGCATCGTGATTGGCAGAAAGGCATTGATGAGAACTGGGCCGCAGCCTTGGAATACAACCCTGAAGCGTTTGCAAGAGTGGTAATTAAGATTGCTAACTAGTCTACTAAACTAAACGTATATCTTTGATGAGTAAACTTACATTTATGCTCTCTTTTTCAGGTAATGTTGTACGTTGACATGGAAGTTAACGGTATTCCATTGAAGGTACTGACTTGTTGAAGTAATCTGGTTTTGTTTCTAGTTGCTCTTTCATCAACTTACCCATCATTTCCAGAAGTAGGGAAATTAAAACCAAGTCCAATCTAAGGAAAATAAGGGGGAAAATGGATTTATCTAGGCGCATAAAGATGTCGACTTTTCTTCTCTCTGGTTACACATTTAATGAACCAGCCTAATTAACATAGAAACATAACCACAAATGTGTCTGAATTACGGGCTCCACTTCTTAATTTGGATGTCTGACATACTTTAAAACTGTGCCACGCAAATTTTAAGGTCTTGCATAAATGTCATGATTGGCAGTAGCTGTGAGCTACTTGCCCTACATCGAAGTCTATTGCTTAGATATTGCCACTTGAATGGAACTTTTAACGTAGAATGTAAAGCCAATTCAACGTGTTCTTTAACTATGGTAAACAACTTAATTTATCTTTCTTGCAGGCCTTTGTTGACAGTGGAGCTCAGTCAACAATTATATCTAAAACATGTGCCGAACGTTTGGGGTGAGATAACCTCTTGCTCTCTTTTGTATGGTTAGACACTATGGATTCTTCTCCCGTTTATTGATAGGATGTTGTTTTCTATTTTCTTCTTCCAGATTATTGAGGCTTTTGGACACTCGGTACAAGGGTATTGCTCATGGAGTTGGCCAGTCAGAGATTTTAGGTCGGATACATGTCGCCCCAATCAAGGTATGCACACAATATGCAGTGCTTTTTTTTTTTTAAGAAAAATTAATACAATATATTTTTTCTATTATCTTTGACATGTTTATTTCATGATGTGGTAGATTGGAAGTATATTTTACCCTTGTTCATTCGTGGTTCTCGATTCACCCAACATGGAATTTCTCTTTGGCCTAGATATGCTTCGCAAGCACCAAGTAACGTCTTCTTATCATTTATGTAATCATGCCCTTTACATTTGTTTATTTTAACTTTGATATAAATGTACTTATAACGCCGTTTTGCAGTGTATTATTGATCTTAAAGATAATGTATTGAGAGTTGGCGGAGGAGAGGTTGCCGTGCCTTTTCTGTCAGGTAGTTATTCTACATTTTTTTTGTTTGTTTTGTCATTTTGTACGAGATTGTGTTCCAGTTTTCCAACTGGCTCTAATTACGGGTTAAATTACGTCCCCCCATCAACTTTGTTTTAATTGCAGAAAAGGATATTCCATCACGGTTTCTAGATGAAGAGAAGTACGCCAAGGAAGCTTCCAGCTCTGGAGCACAAGTACGGATACTCTTCAATGTTTACACACACACACACGCGCGTATTTAATTTAATTGCAACCGAGTAATCTCATCAACGTGTTCCGAATTTCAGGCAACACCTGCAGCCAAAGAAAACATTAGTACACCGGGGGCAACATCTAGCACGATTCCTTCCCATGTACACACTTATTTCAACATTATTTTTGTTTAATTATCAATTATGTATTTTGCCTACTCTTATCTAAAGAATATACTTGTCATTTCCATTTCGACTTTTATAATAATCTGCTTTTTAGCGTCTATTTTCATCGTGTTTAGCTCATGTACTTAATTTGCGGTGCAGGGAGCTGATTTCGAGGCTAAAGTGGCGAAGCTAGTGGAGCTGGGATTTGGAAGGGAACAAGTGATTCAAGCTCTCAAGTTTTTCGATGGCAATGAAGAACAGGCTGCTGGATTCCTTTTCGGCGGTTGAAAACGATTTTTTTAATTGTTTTTAATTTAATTTTCTTTGCGATTTTTGTACACGAGAACTAATAATTTTATTGATTTTAATTTATAGAAAATTGGATATGGCAGAAATGTATTCATAATTCGAAATATAATTGAATTATCTTTTATTATTGCTGACTTATTTTCCAATTGGACCTTTGGTGTTTTGATTTTGTGATAGGCTTCATTCAGGATCGATAAAATCAATTTTTATTTTGATAATTAATAAAATCATTATTCGAGTAATTGATTTTCAGGTAATAACAAAAACCAAAGTTAATTTAAAATAGGAAAAGTAGCGAGCTAATCAAATTAGAAAAATATTTTTGTTCAATATTTTCTTTCACTATAAACTTTTGAATGATCAATGTTATTTATTTTCATCTTTTTAATGTGTTCTCCTAAAATTAAGACACATTTATAAATTCTTAATATTTATGCAAAGCTGAAAAAACGACTATTATTTAAAAACGAAAGGAGTAATAATAACAAATTAAAAGGATATATAGAAAGAGGCATAATTCTCAATTTTAAATTTCAGAATCGAATCAAAGTTATATACATGTCATAAGCTCTATACATCAACATGAATTTTCCCATTATATACAAAAAAGAAAAAGAAAAAAAAAGGAAGCGTTACAACAATTTTTTTATCAGTATTCTAATTATTTCTTATGAAATTTCCGGTGAAAAAAAAAAGAAAAGACGACTATAAAAACCCGGGTCAAATCACATAAAAAACCAACTAGGAGAACCCGTATCATAAACCGGGCAGGGGTTGTAGTACTGTGGGCACGGCGGCGGGTAATAATAATTGAACGGCGGCGTTGGTTGTGGAGGGTTGACCGGCTTGACTTCTCCGACGCTGACTATATCAGCAAAACAAAACTTCTTTCTGAGAGATTTGGCCAAACACACAGAGTCAACCCCTTCTCCGATTACCTCAATGCGGTCCCCTTCTTTTCCGATACTCACCGAGCTTACTCCTGCACAATTACTCCTAATTAATTAATTAGTTATCCCAAAATTAAAAGAATATAATCTTAATTAATTAAATTTGGTCATGATTATCAGATCAGATTAGTTATAATTACCTTGCATAGTGACAGCAATCTGCATGGCCTTTGACTTGTCCTTGTCACTCTGCATCGGCACTTTGATCACAATCTTTTGCTATACGAAATTAAAATTGAATAATTAATTCATAACTGATCATCTTATTAATTGATTAATATATAAATATGTGTGTATATTAATATTGACTAATTGCATTTGCATGCTCTCGTGTTCTTGAAGAAAAAGCTAATTACCTTCATTTTCTGGCAATGATTGCAACAGTGGTTCCTCAAATTCGGAGTTTTTTTTTAAGATTTATAAAACCAAGTTTGAAAGGAGGTCGGATTTTAATGATGTTCCCAAAACCAACCCAACACCTTTATATATATATATATATATATATATATATATATATATATATATATATATATATATATATATATATATATATATATATATATATATATATATATATATATATATATATATATATATATATATATATATATATATATAATTTATTTTTAATTATTTAAATGTGGAACTTATGTAAGGAAGCAACTAACCGCTACACGCGTTTTAAATATTAAAGGACACAAAAATTAAGTATAAAAACAGGAAAAAATAAATAAAGAAATCAATGACTTGTATAGTTCAATAACAAATTGATTGGAGACGACAATTTGACTTGTTAATTTAATAATAAATAATTAGTGGAATGCTATATTGTTTGGTGCCCACCAGAAGATCTAGTGTGTTATTAAATCTTGAGAGTGGACATTTAATAACACAATTATATACTTGTATATATATATATATATAAATATTAATGGACTAGTTCAAATGCAAGACCGAGTTCACACAGTGGGTCTATATCGTCAAAATTTCAACAGAAAATAGCAGTACTCAATGAGTAACAAAAGTCGCCGTCGCCACAAACTTGGAGAAGAAGGAAACAAACCATATACTTTTCGTCTCTGTGTTTCGGACACGTTTCGTGCCAGATACTCGAAAACACCTGTCGAATACTTTATAGGTCATTTTGCAATAATTTCTGAAAAGTTACGAAATTTTATTTTCTTAATTATTTATATAATTTAATAATCAATTGCAAATTGATAGTTGATGATAATATATAGAGTTTTTAGCAAGCGACACCCCTATGATATGTCTAATTACCGAAAAAGTCCCCGTGTTAAAAAAATTAACATATACCCCCCTATGATCAGAAGTCAGAGCCAATAAACCTCCTGTGAGATGATCGTCGCCTATTATGCGACTGGGAGCGTATTTTTTGACTTGAAAATACCAAAATACCCTTTCAATTATTTTTTCTGAAAATTACAGATTCACCCAATAAAAGACCCATCTTTCAATTTAGTCCTTAACATTTTCAAAAAGCCCTCTTCTCCAAATCAACCATTCTGTTACCACAAGTCATCTTTATCTTCCCATTTCCTGCGAGCCCGTGATATTGAGAATCCCATCGGGTCTTCAGGTTTCAAGAATCCGGGTTGTCAGATTGTTTTCTTCTCGTCGACCATTCATTCGACCGTAAGAGGTGTTGGATTGGATGGGGAGGAGATGGTGCCCATAACACCGATAATGGGCTGCCGATTTGGGGATATTTTTGCTTGAATTTAGCATTGGTTTTGAGGTGGATGTCGAGAGGACATCTCCGAAGCCATAGCCGCCGACGACAAAGGTATCGTCTCTAATTTCCATCTCCAGACTTCAATTCTTGGTCGGGGAGAGAGAAATGGAGGAAATGGATGTGGCTCGGAGAGGAACCGAATCAAACCATTGCGGAGCATAGGTCAGAGGCAACGAAGATATTGGATTGTGGAGGAGGAGCAGGATGTGCTGGTGGTTGCTGTTGGAGGTGGGTGCACGGTGGTGCTGTTGAAGAAGATGACTTATTTAATTTATTTTTCCTTTTTATTATTTTATATTTAGTATATATACATTTTGCATTATCTTTTGTTTATTACTTTATAAAAATAATTATTTTGTTATTTTTTTTATTTTTAATAATTACTAAAATAAAGGGTAATGTAGCATATTTTTATAAGGGTAATACAGTCATTTCATTATAGTCAACAATTGTTTTTCGGATAGGGGGTGGTCGGCTAAATAAAATCCATCACAGGGAGGTAAATGCTAAAACTTTTAACACAAGGGTTTTTCCGGCAATTAGACTTTTCACAGGGGTTGTATGCAATTAACTCTATATTTGTATGAAAATGTATAACATATATGTATATGATTATATAACATATTTATAAATAATATCTCTATATACTTTTAATATTTACACATTTTCCCCATCTCCGTTTTCTTGTTTCCCGTTTCCGTGTCCATGCTACGTAGCTAGTCATATATCAAAACAAAATAATTAATTAGCAATTACGTTAATTGAGATCCAATGGTTCAAATGAATTGGCCTAGAATCTTATTAATGGGGTTGTATTTGATCACATTTATTGATATGGGGATGGTCTACGTCAGCCCATGATCATACAATGATATAGTGCTGACGGTCAACGGCGATTTGCAGAATTTAATATTTTATTACCACAAATTGTCCATAATTGTTTAATGTAATATACCTATCCGCAAATTATGCGCACATGAGTTCAACACGAGTTTGTCGTATGTTCCTCATAGTTGGATTTGACAACTCAACAACTCGAGCTAGTTCAACTTGATTACTCACAAGTTAAATCAAATATTTAAATTTAGAAATGTTTTCACATTAATTTCAATCAATTGTCATTGAAATGAGTTTTAAAGAACAATGGAGAAACAAAATTATATTTGCCTATTTGAAGATAGATTTTATTTCAAAATAATAATTTTATTGAATTGGTTGATCAGAAAGAAACGAAAACAGTAGGCAACGATTGTTCTGCGAACTTGAAGGTGCTGCTTTGTCCGACAGGAAAAGTATCGTCGCAGTTGCTTCCCGAACCTTTCTTGTTTCGATAGCCAGGGTAATCCCATATCGAGAAATTCACCTCTTCCGTTAGCACCAAACCAACTTCCCGCCCTAATTCAACGATCCCCCACTGCGAAAACGGATGACTCGTTTTGTGCGTCACGTGAATTTCACCTCTACTTGTCAGCATTTCACGCCCGTTTCTCATGAAACCCCTCACCACCTCCTTGTGTAGCCTACATTCAAGATTAATACATATTCACATCCTAAGAGATCACAGAGAGAGAGAGAGAGAGATCTAGAGAGAGATTACGTACGATATCTGATAAGAGTCGTGTTCACGCATGATGAAGCCTGCATGGGGAAAATTGAAAACGATCCGATCGAATTTTCGATGCATCAAAGAAGGGTGTCGGCTCATGGTGGTAGCGTCTACATCATGCAACACCGTGCACCCGTTGTCTCTAAGCAAAGCCACATTGTCTGCTGCTGTTGTCGGATACTTTATCTCCAACATCTCTGTATATATACATATATATCATCATGTCAATAATATTTGCATGAATTGAATTAAAAAAAGAAAAGGAAGATCATATCAGAGTAAACCTCGGGAGTCGAGAGAGGTTGCAACCATGTTCGATGCATTGCCGAAAGCGGTGGCTAAAGAGACGGCAAACGAGAAATTTCCTTCGCCGACTAGCAGTATCTGATGATTGCTGCTGTAATGTTTAATGCATTTCTCCTCAAAACTATATGTTGGCACCATTTTATTCTATATTATATTCTTCTTATTGGTCGGACTAAATTAGTTGATTATCTCCTCAGACATTGTTGTTTAATTAGCACATGATGTAATTACATGGTTTGATTATTAGCTGATGAACTAGGTTTATATATACATACAAGAGAGTCTTGAAGAGTTATGAATGCATTAAATTGAATTTAATATTACTGATAATTCCGAAGAGTTTCTCACCTGTTCATCATCTGGGCTTGTTCATATTCTCTTTGTCCAATAAAATTCCGAAGAGTGACGATTTTTTTTTTAAATTTTATTTATTTCTATGTATTTGTATTTATATATATAATAAACTTTATTTTCTCACACAAACTATATACAGTATACATGGGACACACAAAATATATCACATACTACACAAAAAACACAAATCCATGAAATGAAATAGAAACTGCTCATGCTCACCGAGAGGTTATTGCAATGACATGCAGCTTGAATCGATCAACGCAAGAAAGAATCCGAAAGATTCTCAAACGACCAAGACCGGTTCCTGAGAGTGAAAGAATGAATCACGGGAATGTGCGTAACCATCGCACGATCTATACCGTTCTTTCTAACTCGAGCTGTGAACCCCTGCGCCATGTCGTACAGAGTCAGCTCCTCAACCTTGGCAAGATTTTCCATTCCCAACGGCACAATCGTCACTCTTGGGCACCGACGAAGCGATATCTGTTTCACATCGGGCATAGCTCCATTTTGTACCACAATCGTGTGAAGTTCCGCGAAATCTTCAATCAGTAAAACCTTCAGCTTCTTGAAAGACGAAGCTTCGAATATCAACTCTCCGCCGATATAGCAGTCCACCAGCTGAAGCTCCACCAGGTTTTTGAGTTCCTGAAGATCACGCAACGGGCTGCGTTGCATTTTAGACCACTTGAGACCAATTCTCAGAAGATTATGCAACGACGAAATCCACGAAGGAAATTGCTTCAGGCGCCCTTTCAAGTATAGACGCTCGAGTGAAAGAGGAGGGCGTCTTCTCATCTCTCCCAATTCAAGAAACTCTTCCTTCGTGTTCGAGCATAAATCCAGAGTTCGAAGTTCGGGCATATGTTCGATAGATGTAAACAACTCTTTACCGTGTCCCCTTCTCAGCCCCGTAAGTCCTAGCTTCCTAAGTTTTGTCAAACTTTTCAATTCTTCTAGAATACGAACCTTTTTTCCTACCTTCATAAGAGACAGATTTTGCAGATTCGTTAAGTTTCCGATCCCGTGGGGCATCTTAACACCTTGCACCGAGTCAAAAGCTACATAATCGTCGACGTTGTATTTGTAGGCAAAGAGGTGACGGAGATTGTGCAGATGGGATATCTCTTTAGGTAGCTCCGTGACATCAGTTTGTTTTAGGTCCAAGGTTTCGAGGTAAGAAAGCTTCTCTATGGAACTCGGAATCGTATTTATTTTAGTACCTCTGAAACTAAGATGCTTAAGAAGAGTGAGACGAGTGATGTCCTTGGGAACCTCTTGAATCGGTGCGCCTTGGAAGTCCAAGACTCTTACCAATTTAAGCTCGCGTAGAACTTTCTCGAAATTAGGTGTGGATATTTCGAGCAACCTGCATAAAAACATGGAGCAAACACGCGTATGATTAATTAACTAACGCAATATCAAGGGAGATGCTGATTAACTAACCAACGTACCTCAATAAAAACATCGAACGAACACCACTAAAGCCAATGTCTCGAGGCAAATGTGTGCAACTATCGTGGACGGATAGACGGCGGATCTTCTGGTTTCGGCTCGTACTCTCTCGAGGGAAGATCGATGCGAAATTTTCATCCTTGCACTTGTGGATGATGAAGTTGAGAACAGGGTTCAGTACCCTACAATTTCTAGGCTTTCCGTCGAAATCCCTGTTTGAAACATGAACCAAGTTCCTCTGAATCAGTTCTTTGAGATAACCCTCCGCAACTTCCTCAGCCGTTTTGCTGTCGGTTCTCACAGCAAACTGCTCAGCTACCCAGAGACGAATGAGTCTTCCACGCTCGACAGAGTAATCCTCGGGGAATACACTAAAGTACAAGAAACAGCACTTCAGATTGCTCGAGAGATCCATATAGCCAGGCAACAGCGCATTGCTGATGACAGACAAACTGGAACCGTCCCGTGTTTCACATCCGATGCTATCGTGGAAACTTTTCCACTCGTTCGGAAGTCTCGGTATTTGCGAAAGAGCACCGCCAACTGTCACAATAGCGAGGGGTAGTCCTTCACATCTCGTCACTATTCGTTTGGAACAGTCCTTCAACTCGGAAGGGCATTCGCCGTTTCTCTCGGGGAAGGCCTTCCTGCAGAAGAGGGTCCACCCTTGTAGCCATTCTAATTCCTTTAATTCGTGTACAAGAGGGCTTGACGATGCACACACAGAGGCGACATCCGACGACCTGGTTGTGACAATTATTCTGCTGCCACAGAAGGAATCGGGCAGTACGTACTTAATAACATCCCAAACTTCCTTTCTCCAAATATCGTCAAGAACAACGATAAACCTCTTTCCAGTGAGGTACTTTCGGAGTTTTGCCTCCGTATTCGTACCGTCGTCGATTGGATATGGTTCCTTTCTTGAACCACATAACTGTCTAAGCATATTGACAAAGGCTTCCTCTTTTTGAAAGTTCTGAGAGACTTGAACCCAAGCGTGACAGTCAAACCGACCCATAATGCCTCGTTTCCAAAAAACGTTCTTCACAAACGCCGTCTTTCCCGAGCCACCGGGACCCACAACAGCTAGTGTGAGTAGCCTCTTTTCTCCATCCACCAACTGACGAGCGAATATCATTTTCTCGTTATCGTAGCCAACCATTTCATCGTCAAGGAGAAGAGGACTCGCCGGGGGGTGCGGGCCCCTGTTTCTTGAATTTGACGAGGATCCTGCACTGGCGAAAAATCTTTGCTGCGACCTGACATCATCGATACTTCTCTTGATTCTTGATATCTTCTCGGAGATGGCATTAAGTGGGAATCCGTGATAGGCCTGGTGGAGGATGTTGTGAACCGTGCGGCTGATTCCGTGATTGTGGAACAAATAGGGTGGGGAGTGGAGCATAAATTCCTCAAGAACATCTTCGATATCGTAAGCAATGTCTCGAACTTTGTAGACCTGGTCTTCGAGCCTCCTGCTCGTTTTAAGGTCCGGATGATCTTCCATTAATGCCTTCATATATCGAAGCCAACTTTCCATGCTTTGTATCTCCCGCAAATCTACTTGGAGAATCACTTTGCTGAGCAACGGTTCAGCGATCTCCAATAAAACCAGCGCTGCGCTAACAGCAAGTTCTGCCATAATTAAAAAAAAAAATATCTGTTTTTTATTTATTTTATTTTAAGATAGAAGGTGCTAGCTAGCATTTAGTGCAAAGATGGAGAATACAAATCTCTGAATTATATGGTGATGGAGATCATAATTGGTAAAAAGTCTTTGATGAGCCACTTGAATGAATCACATTATTAACTTATTTGTCGAAAACGACAGATACTACAAAATAACGAAAACGGAACCAGTCGTTTTAGAAAAAAAAGTATACAGCATCCTCCACACATCTGATTCAACATGGGATAAATACAATCACGAATGGCTTCTGCTACATAGCTACGGTTGACACAGTACCACAGATAACACAGCAACCCTAAAACTAATTGAAAGTGAGAGATAATAATATGAAATTCACGGTAGAATTAATGGAGTCATCAATACTGAGTTCAAATGAATTTGTTACCATATCATCGTTTAACAGATAATGAATAAAAATTGAAGTTTACAGGAAAAAAACAAAAAACGACTTTGAGAAATAAAACAACAATAAAACCATTGTTTACCTCATTGCCTGGGGTAGTAAAGATGGCTTTTTTAATTGAAGTTTTAAAGTCAACCCTAAAAGAATCATCCAGCAAGTTGCCCATCAATTGACAATGATTTTTGACAGGGTTTGATTTCTTCCGACAGCTATCAACGTCTCGGAAATCGTCTAAAGCTGAATTCTCCATCTCCAGAAGTCTTCTTTCTCCGGTGCAGCTCCGGGATGTTGATTATTGTAAAACCATTTGGTCTGCCAAAACCCTAACGAAGCAGTTCACTGATTTTTGTTCGAAACAATTAAAGTTTAAATTTGATGACAATATGCATTTATTCCAATTATGAACTCCAGTAAATAGATTTCTAGTTGGTTATTCTAACATTTGAAATTTAGTTCAACTCTAAAATGCTTGAAGTGATGAGTAAATTTGAGATAATTTATTCCCTGGCTTTAGGGAGAAGAGGGCGTTTTTTAAACTTTTAGGGACTGAATTGAAAATATTGAAAACTTCACTTTGGGGCTTTTTTATAAATTAATAATTTAAAGGGTATTTAGGTCTTCTCATATCAAAAACCCAACCCCGTCGTATTTTTTTTTTTTTATGAGAAAATTAATATATAACTAAGAAGGAAATGAAGAGTCTACAAGAGGAAAACCAATGTCACAGAAGCAAAAAATAGGAATACAATTACTATGAATAAAACCACTCCATTTGGACGAGAAAGACCATGAAGCTAAATTGTGAGCGGCAAAATTTGCGCTCGGGGGATATTTGAATTTCCATTTCGCCCACAGGTGCCAAAGCTTGCGGATTTCATCAATGATAACTTTCGCCGACCAATGGATAACCGAAGAATGATCATTGATAAAACGAACATAGCATTAAGGCAATCCGACTCGAAGATCACCTTGGGAAGCTTCTTCTTCTCAGCAAAAAGACAAGCCTCGTGAATAGCCAATGATTCAGCCACAAGGGGGTCCAAACAATGATGAATTGAAGAGTGCGCAAAAACAAATGATCCATTGCTATTACGAACAACAAAAGCAGTCGAGGCCACGCCGTCGATAAATGAGCAATCTGAGTAGATTTTTAACCAATTAAGAGGGGGCTTTTTAACCCAACCCCGTCGTATATTTGGCAAGTATAACACATGACAAACTCGTAGGGGCACATTGACTTTGACTAACTTTCGGAGGAATTTTGCTAATTATTTTAATATATGGACTTTTATAGCAATTAGAGGTTACACTGTGCTATAAATGATATAGTGCTGACAATCAACTGCGATTTGCGATTTGGTAGGCTACTTAATAATTTAGCACAAATTGTCCATAATTGTTAAATATAAGATACCCTAATCCACAATTATGTACTATGTTAAAATTATATAGTATGATTATGCGCATATAAATTTCAGCACGGTATAAGTTGAAAATATATGGATGACACTGATTGAAATTGGATAGAAATAAAACGATGATCATCATATATTATATGAATGAATAATATTTTGATTGGTTGATGAGAAAATAAAAATAAGAAATAATTATTTGGCAAACTTGAAGGTTGTGCTTAGTCGAGCAGGAAAAGTGTCGCTGCTACGACAGCTGCTTCCTTCACCTCCTCTCTTGTTTTCATATCCGGGGTAATCACTGATGGAGAAAGCAGCCTTCTCAGTTAACACCAAACCGACTTCGCGTCCTAATTCCTCAATCCCCCACTCCGTAAACGGATAACTCGTTTTATGCGTCACGTGAATCTCACCTCTACGTGTCAGCATTTCACGTCCGTTTCTCAGGAAACCCCTTACCACCTCCTTGTGTAGCCTAATTCACATCCACAGAGAGAGATATATCAGATAGAGAGAGAGAGAGAGAGAGATCTAGAGAGAGAGAGAGAGAGAGTGCGCGTACGATATTTGGTAAGAGTCTTGTTCATTCCTGGTGAAACCTGCATGGGGATAATTGAAAACAATTCTATCGAATTTTAGATGCATCAAGGAAGGGTGTTGGCTCATGGTGGTTGCGTCTATACCATGGATCACCGTGCATCCCTTGTCTTTAAGTAAACACACGTTGGCTGCCTCTGTCGGATACTTTCGCAACAACATCACTGTACGTATATATATATCATGTCAATTATAATATAATTAATATTGTCGAAATATTGAATAATTAGAAAAAATGAAAAAAGGAAAAAAAAAATTAGTAAAATTAGTGCAGTAGTAAAACCTTGGGAGTCGAGAGAGGTTGCAACGATGTTGGATGCATTGCCGAAAGCTGTGGCCAAAGAGGCAGCGAAGGAGAAATCTCCTTCACCGACTAGCAGCATCTGATGACGGCTGCTATAGTGGTTAATCCATTTTTCTTCCATTAATTATATTATATTATATTATATTATGGATTAATTCGTTACGCCTACATATACTGTTTAAGCATATGATATGATATGATATGATGTTAGTGTTACATTATATTACATGGTTTGATTTGTAGTAGGTTTTTATAGGGGAGGGAGAAGCCAAAGAATTGTGATTTGAAGAGTTGTACAGATCGACTTAATTAGCTTCATGAATGCTTTAATTGATAGTTATAACTTACATATTATATTGTTCATTTATTTATTATCATTTTCATATCATATCAAATAAATGTTTGCATGCATGACTCCATACATACCCTTATGCATGCAACCTACTTAATTATTACTGCTAATTCCAAAGAGTTACGTTCCTCACCTCTTCATCTGGTTTCTCCTTCTCCAATACAATAAATCTTATCATCATCATCATCATCATCATCATATATACATATATATATATATATATATATATATATATATATATATATATTTGGTCTGTTCGTATAATTTACTTAAGTACTGATGTCTTCAAATATCTAATAAGCCAACTTTCCTTGCTTCTAAAGCGTAGCATAGCTACAGTTCACACATTCAGGCAAACTGCATTTGGATTGAATTGAAACAATCTTAGTTAGGTTTTAGATAAAGTAATTTAAAATAATGGAATTTGTTATTATTATATATCATTTGACAGAGGATTAATAAAACAAAAAGAAAACGACTTTGAGAAATAAAACAACAGTAAACCATTGTAGTCTTGTCAATTTTACATCATTGCCTTGCCTCGGTAGTAAAGACTAAAGAGAGCTTCTTTAATTGAAGTTTTTAAATGTCAACCGCCATTAATATAATTGATAAGGGTATAAATGTCATTTTCTTCTAAATGTAAATAATGAAAAACCCCTAAACTAAGGTCAATTTACAGAAACCCCCTCGTGTATTCGTAATTATCAGAAATCCCCTCAAGACACGGCCCCTTTAAAATTACGGGTGAAATTAGTACCTTTTAAAAAATATCAAATATTTTCGCAAGTGAGTAATAGGTTCAAATTTTGTTATAAAATAAATCAACAAAAAAAAAAACAAAAATTCGGATATCGAAACTTTGTAAATTGGGATGGAAATAATTGTCCTAAAAAAAGTTATAATAGGTATCAACGAAATTAAAAAAAAAAACAATTCACTTCAAATATAATATACATAATTTGCAGAAAATTCACCATTGGTGCCCACTAACCAAACCATCCACCATTGATGTCGAAATCTGAAAGGAGTAGTCGAATTTTTCAAACCTTCAAAGACAATCTTATTTTACTTTTTTCAAAATTAATCTTACAAGGGGGAAATTGTCAGAAAAAAAACAATCCTTAGGAAGTTTTGATAATTATAAATACATGAGAGATTTTTGGTATTTTGACCTTAGTTAAGGGAGTTATTTGTAATTTACCCAGAAAAGAATCAGAAGGGGAATCAGAATGTCGGTTCAAATAATTGGAAAGTTGAATAAAACGTGCATACATGCACACACGTCTTTACACTTGTTCTTGGGCATCAACAACTAGCATGCAACCAAACCCATATATAAACCCTACTCCTCCATCATAATTTTCCATCAACACACATTTCATCTTTAATTTCATTTTTTTCTACTTTTACACCAAAAAAAAAAAAACAAAAATAATTCAGAAATGGCTTCTTCAATCAAGTTGACATTGGTTCTCTTCTTTGCATGCTCTCTCTTCCTCCAAGGAACCCTAGGTATATATATATATATATGCATTTTATTTTATGATATATATATATATTCATGCTTATGTATATAATTATCATTGTGAATGTGTGTACAGCGGTCGGCGAGGTGGTATGTGAGAATCTGCCGGAGAATCTGTGCGCGTTCGCGATTGCATCCTCCGGGAAGAGGTGCGTGCTGGAGAACTACAAGAACGAAGAAGAGGGGAAGCTTGACTACACGTGTAAGTCATCCGAGGTGGTGGTCGAGAGGTTGTCCGGCTACATAGAGTCCGATCAGTGCATCAATGCTTGCGGCGTTGACCGTACATTCGTCGGGATATCCTCCGACGCATTCCTCACTCAGGAGTTCACCTCAAGCCTCTGCTCGCCCGATTGCTACCGGAACTGCCCCAACATTGTTGACCTTTACTTCAACCTCGCCGCCGGTGAAGGTAATTTCATTCTCTATTTCACTTTTTGATCTTATTTATAAAATCAAATATATATGGTTTATATACATGTAAATAATTGTGTAGGAGTGTATTTGCCGGCACTATGCGATAAACAGAAGTCCAGCCCGCACCGTGCCATGTTCGAGCTTTTGAGCAGCGCCGCCTCTTCGGTGGTGGATTACTCCATGGGGGCACCTGCACCTGCACCAGCTCCCGGATATTTTTAATTTATTTATTTCATTTCATTTATTACCGATTGAGTTTTTTGAGCTCTCGTATTTGATTGTTAAATTACTCGAAAAAATGGGGCTCCCTGTACCTGCTCCTGCTCCTGATGATTTTTAATTTATTTTATTTATTATTACCTATATTGAATTTTTGAGCTCATATATATTTAATGAAATTATTACTCTAAATATGGAGTGCAAGGGTATTACTGTTGTTACTTAGTCACTAAACTTCGATTGTCAGCACAAAATATTGAAATTAAACTGTCATTTGAGAAGGCTAAAGCAGAAAATATACTTGAATCCGCCAAAGCATCATTCAACATAAAATGTCATTAATTACATTCTATTGTATTAATTCCACATACCATAGCTAGATAACTGTTCCAGGTTATTTCTATGCTACACCTGGTGAAGACTACAACACTAGGTGGTTTTGTACGGTTGATCTACACACACCAATGTGGATGTGTGCGTTTGTGTGTATATGAATAGTAAAAATCTATTCGTTGTATTTCACCCGGTGTAGCATAGAATAGACCACAGTCCAACTGCTCAACAAAACAACAGAAACAGTAAAAATGGGTTCATTTGTTCAATCAAAAGGCCTAAATTCGGTAACTGCATCTTTTGAGCTAATTAATACCTAGTTGATATCGGCCATCTAAGATGTATAACATACATTACAAGTGTGTATGCTAAGACAAACAAATGGCCGAAGAAACAGCTCAATCTTATAAAATATTTATTTTCTCACAGTACAGGAAACACACAAATTTATCACTGTACAACTATAACCATAGACAAGCTGCACATATTACACAGATTTTTGAACTTTACGTTCATATTCTTATTATCGACACACAAATAGAGGAAAAAAGTACTGAAATCGATTATGCTCACCAAAAACGTGTTCTTGAAACGGGTAAAGCAGCTTTTACTCAATGCGAGAAAGAATCAGAGAGATTCTCAAACGACCAGGACTGAGGTTTGAGAGTGAAAGAATGAATCACGGGAATGTGGGTAACCATCGCACAATCTTCACCTTTCTTTCTGAGTCGAGCTATGAACTCTGGTGCCATGTCATACAGAGTCAGCTCCTCAACTTTGGCAAGATTGTTCATTCCCAAAGGAAAAATCATCACTCGTGGGCACCTGCGAAGAGATATCTGTTTCACATCAGGCATAGCTCCATTTTGTATCACAACCGTGTGAAGTTCCGCAAAATCTTCAATCAGTAAAATCTTGAGGTTCTTGAAAGACGAAGCTTCAAATACCAACTCTCCCCCGATAAAACAGTCAACCAGCTGAAGCTCCATCAGGTTTGGAAGTCGCTGAAGAGCTTGAAGTGGGCTGTTACTCATCTTAGACCACTTGAGACCAATCTTGAGAAGATTATTCAGAGATGAAATCCAGGTGGGAAGTTGTTCTAGGCGCCCTTTCAAGTATAGACGCTCGAGTTTCAAAGGACGATTTCTCAACTCTCCCAATTCAAGAAAATCTTCCTTTGTGTGTGAGCATAAATTCAGAGTTCTAAGATGCGGCATCTGTTCAACAGATGCAGACAACTCTTTCCCATGTCCCTTTTCGAGCCCCGTAAGTCCTAGCTTCCTAAGTTTTGACAAATTTTTCAGTTCTTGTAGTATTCTAACCTTTTCTCCCACCTTTATCATAGACAACTTTTGTAAGTTCGTTAGGTTGCCGATCCCCTCGGATATCGTAACACCATGAACTGAGTCAAAAACTACATAATTTGCCACATTGTATTTGTAGGCAAAGAGGTGACGAAGATTGTGCAAATGCAATAATATCTCTTTAGGTAGCTCTTTCACATCAGTTTGTTTTAGGTCCAAGGTTTCAAGGTAAGAAAGCTTCTTTATGGAAGTTGGGATCATATTTATCTTAGTACCTCTGAAATTAAGATGCCTTAAAAGGGTGAGACGGGTGACGTCCTTGGGAAACTTCGTGATAGGTGCACCTTGGAAGTCTAAGACTCTTGCCAACTTGAGCTCGCATAAAATTTTCTTGAAATCAGTGGGAGATATCTTAAGCAACCTGGGATAAAAAAGACATGGAGCATACATGTTAGAAACTGAAGATAACCAAAAAAAAAGAAGAAAAAAAATATCAAGGGAGATGCTATAATATTAACCCACACACCTCAATAAAAACATTGAGCGAACGCCACTAAGGAAACTCTTTCCAGACAAACCGGTGCAATCACTGTGGACAGATAGACGGCGAATCTTCTGGTTCTGACTCGTACTTTCTCGAGGGAAAATAGATGCAAAATTCTCATACTTGCACTTGTTTGTGATAAAGGTGAGGACAAGGTTCAGAACTCGACAATTTCTAGGCTTCCCATCAAAATCATAGTTGGAAACATGAACCAAATTCCTCTGAATCAGTTCATCAAAATAATCCTCTGCAACCTCCTCGGCTGTCAGGCAATCTGTTCCCACAGCGAATTGCTCAGCCACCCAGAGACGAATAAGTCTTCCACGGTCGACAGAGTAATCCTCGGGGAAAATACTAAAGTACAAGAAACAGCTCTTCAGATTGGTGGAGAGGTCCATATAGCCAGGCAACAGAGCATTGCTTATGACTGACAAATTGGAATCTTCCGTAATTTCACATCCAAGGCTATTATGAAACTTTTCCCACTCATTGGGAAGTCTTGGTTTATGCGCGAGAGCACTTCCCACTGCCACAATAGCAAGGGGAAGTCCTTCACATCTCTTCACGATTCTTTCCGAACAGCCCTTCAACTCAGGAGGGCATTGCCCGTCAATGTCTTGGAAGGCCTTTCTGTAGAAGAGGGTCAGTGCATGTAGCCATCCTAAACAATTTACGATATGTACATGAGTGCTCGATGATGCACATACAGAGGCAACATCTGACGACCTGGTTGTGACAATTATTCTGCTGCTACGTGAGGAATTGGGAAATCCTTCCTTAATGACATCCCAATCATTTTGATTCCAAATATCGTCAAGAACAACAATAAATCTCTTTCTAGTGAGGTACTTAAGAAGCTTTGTCTGTGTATTTGTACCGTCATCAAATGGATACTTCCTCGAACCACAGAATTGGTTAAGCAAATCGATAAAGAGTTCCTCAGCTTTCAAGTGTGGAGAGACATGAACCCAAGCATGGCAATCAAATCGTCCCGTAATTACTTGTTTCTTGAAAACGTTGTTCACAAACGCCGTCTTCCCAGAGCCACCTGGACCAACAACGGCTAGCGTGACTAGCCTCTTTTGTCCGTCTAACAACTGATGAGTGAATGTCTCTTTCTCCTTTTCATAGCCAACAATTTCATCATCAAGGAGAGGAGGACTCACCGGGTGGGGGCGGACCCTGTTTGTAGAACTTGAAGATGGTCTTGGACTGGACAATCCGGTAGACAAAAATGCATGCTGTGATCCCATGTCATCTATACTCATCTTGATTCTTGCTATCTTCTCGGAGATCCCACGAAGTGGAAATACATGGTAGAGATTGTGGCTGAAGCTGTGAAGCTTGCGACTGATTCTGTGGTTGTGGAATTTATACGATTGCGAGTGAATGATAAACTCCTCAAGAACATCTTCGATATCATAAGCAATATCTCGCACTTGGTCCACCACCTGATCTAATAAAAGCCTCCTGTCATCGTCATTGCCAGAATGTTCTTCTATGAAAACCTTCATTGGAGCGAGCCAACCTTTTAAGCCTGTTATTCCATCCTTCACATCTTCTTTGGAATTGAATTTGCTGAGTAATGGTATAACTATATCGAGCAAAACTAGTGCTCCAGTAACAGCAAGTTCTGCCATTTTTCGTTTTCTTTTGTTAGTGCAAGTATAGAAAGAATATGAAGGACAGAAAATTTGGGGAAAAATGATCACTGCAAAAATGGAAGCAATACATACGAAACTTCAAACAATCATACGCTGATTCGATCCGTATTTGGTAAAAAAGTCTCCGATGAGACACAAAGCAAGTTGAGTTGCCCCCCACTTGGATTATCAAATTATTAACTTATTTGTGGAAACATGCGCAAACATGATATACAGATTACAGAACCAGTCGCTTCGCAATGAAATTGCTGGCAACTATACCAACAGCTATTATTTAATTCAACTTGGGATAAATATAACCCCAAACGGCTACTGTCTACAGATACACAGCTACGGATACGTTGAATTCACCCACACCGAGTTCAATGAATTTGCTATTATATCGTTTAACAGAGAATGAATCAAAATTAAGCTTAACAGGAAAACTGAATCCCTAAAAAAAACGAGTCGTCAAATAGTCAATTGTACCTGGTGATAAAAGAATCTTCCAGCAATTTGCCCATTAATTGATAATGATTTTTGACAGGTAGATATCGATCCCGCCAGGGTTTGACGATGAAATGTGCAGATTCCCGACAGCTATCAACGTCTCGGAAATCGTCAAAAGTTGAATTTCCCATCTCAGAAATCCTTCTTTTTCCGGTGCAGCTCCGGGAGATTATAACCGCCGGTGTTGATTATCGTAAAAACTGGTGAATACAGAGTATATAGTTCGGCAAAATTAATTACTGAAATAATACATGAAAATTCGAGTTTAATCGGGTAATTAAGAAATTGCAGCTTATTTGTGTAAAATACCTAAAATTTCAGTTTATGAAATTAGATAAAAATAATAAGAATATAAATGTTCAATTTAATTTTTAATTACTTAAAAACGTGCTTTAAGACCAAAAAAAAGCCGGTACGGTGTCGTTTGGAGAATTATAACTTTTATAAATAATTATTTGAAGATAAAGCAAAGAAAAAATACATTTACAATATACTTCACACAAAAAAAAGTTATAATAATCTATAATTCTATATATACAACAGAACGAAGGTAAAAGATAATAACGACATACATTATTACAGCACTAGTAGTGTCACATATTACATATTATTTTTGAACTTCACGCAGATATTTTTTTATTATCGAAAATCGAAACACAAATACAGGACGAAACTGAAATTGCTCACGCTCACCAAACCGTGTTCTTGAAACGGGTAAAGCAGCTTCGATTCAGTGCGAGGAAGAATCGGAAAGATTCTCAAACGACCAAGAGTGCTGATGTCCGGAGGTGAAAGAATTAATCAAGGGAATGCGTGCAACCATCGCACGATCTTCGCCGTTCATTCTAAGTCGAGCTATGAACTCCTGCGCCATGTCGCGCAGAATCAGCTCCTCAACCTTGGCAAGATTATTCATTCCTAGTGGAGAAATCGTCATCCTTGGGCACTTATGAAGAGATATCTGTTTCAAGTCAGGCATAGCTCCATTTCGTATCACAATCGTGTGAAGTTCCGCGAGATCTTCAATCAGTAAAATCTTCAGCTTCTTGAAAGACGAAGCTTCGAATATCAACTCTCCACCGATATAACAGTCCACCAGCTCAAGCTCCATCAGGTTTGGAAGCCGTTGAAGCGCTTGAAGTGGGCTGCATTGCATTTTAGACCACTTGAGACCAATTCTCAGAAGATTATCGAGCGATGAAATCCAAGTCGGGAGTTGATTTACGCGCCCTTTCAAGTATAGACGCTGAAGTTTCGAAGGTGGATTTCTCATTTCTCCCAACTCAAGAAACTCTTCCTTAGTATCTGAGCATAAATCAAGAGTTGTAAGAAGGGGCATTTGTTCAACAGAAGCAGACAACTCATTCCCGTATCCTCTTCTGATCCCCGTTAGTCCTAGTTTCCTAAGTTTCGTCAATAGTTTCAGCTCTTCTAGGATTTTAAACTTTTTGCCTACTTTTACAAGAGACAGAGCCTGTAATTCTGTTAACTTTCCGATCCCTTTATGTATCTTAACACCTTGCACTGACTCGAAAACTACATAACTCTCCACGTTGTGTTTGTAGGCCAGGAGGTGACGGAGATTGTGCAAATGGCATATTTCTTTTGGCAGCTCTTTGACATCGGTTTGTTTTAGGTCCAAGGTTTCTAGGTAAGAAAGTTTTTTTATGGAACTTGGGATTGACTTAATTTTAGTACCTCTGAAATTAAGATGCCTCAGAAGGGTGAGATGGGTGATGTCCTCGGGAAACTTTGTGATAGGTGCACCTTGGAAGTCTAAGACTCTCGTCAACTTGAGCTCGCGTAAAACTTTCTCGAAATTAGATGTGGATGTCTCAACCAAACTGAAAAAAAAAAAGAAAAAAAGGAAAACGAAATGGAGCATACGTGTTAGATGACAAAAAAGTGTTCCAAATATCAATGGAGATGTTAATCGAATAACACACCTCAATAAAAACATCGAACGGACGCCACTAAAGTCAATGTTCCGAGGCAAATGTGTACAGTCATTGCGAACAGATAGACGCCGAATCTTCTGGTTCCGACTCGTATTTTCTGTAGGGAAAATCGATGCGAAATTTTCATACTTGCACTTGTGGGTGACAAAGTTGAGGACAGGGTTCAGAACTCTACAATTTCTAGGCGTCCCATCGAAATCATAGTTGGAAACATGAACCAAGTTCCTCTGAATCAGTTCATCGAGATAACCCTCTGCAACTTCTTCTGCCGTTTGGAAATTTATTCCCACCGCGAACTGCTCAGCAACCCAGAGACGAATAAGTCTACCACGTTCAACAGAGTAATCCTCGGGGAAAATACTAAAGTACAAGAAACAGCTCTTCAGATTGGTGGAGAGGTCCATATAGCCAGGCAACAGAGCATTGCTTATGACTGACAAATTGGAATCTTCCGTAATTTCACATCCAAGGCTATTATGAAACTTTTCCCACTCATTGGGAAGTCTTGGTTTATGCGCGAGAGCACTTCCCACTGCCACAATAGCAAGGGGAAGTCCTTCACATCTCTTGACGATTCTTTCCGAACAGCCCTTCAACTCAGGAGGGCATTGCCCGTCAATGTCTTGGAATGCCTTTCTGTAGAAGAGGGTCAGTGCATGTAGCCATCCTAAACAATTTAAGATATGTACATGAGTGCTCGATGATGCACATACAGAGGCAACATCTGACGACCTGGTTGTGACAATTATTCTGCTGCCACGGAAGGCATCGGGGAATCCGCCCTTAATGACATCCCAATGGTTTTGGCTCCAAATATCGTCAAGAACAACGATAAATCTCTTTCCAGTGAGGTACTTGTGTAGCTTTGTCTGTGTATTTGTACCGTCATCAATTGGATATGATTCCTTTCTCGAATAACAGAACTGCTTTAGCATATTGACAAAGAGTTCCTCAGCTTCAAAGTGCTGAGAGACACGAACCCAAGCGTGACAGTCGAATCGACCCATAATTCCTCGTTTGCAGAAAATATTTTTCACAAACGCCGTCTTCCCCGAGCCAGCAGGACCAGCAACAGCTAGCGCGACTAGCCTCTTTTCTCCATCCACCAACTGATCGGTGAATATCTTCTTCTCCTTTTCATAGCCAACGATTTCATCATCAAGGAGAAGAGGACTCACCGGGGGGTGGGGGCGGATCCTGTTTGTAGAACTTGAAGATGGTCCTGGACTGGACAATCCGGTAGACAAAAACGCATGCTGTGATCCCATATCATCTATACTTTTCTTGATTCTTGCTATCTTTTCGGAGATCCCACGAATTGGGAATCCGTGATAGACAGTGTGGGCTACGGTGTGAATCTGGCGAATGAAATGGCGATTGTGGAACGTATATGGCGGTGAGTGAAGGACAAACTCGTCAAGAACATCTTCGATATCATAAGCAATGTACCGCACTTGTTCCACCTTATTTTCAAGCCACTTGCCCCTTTCAAGGCCGGAACTCTGGTCTTCCATGTTACCCCTTCATTGAATCAAGCCACATCTTCTTGGAGACTGAGATTGCTGAGTATTGGTTTAATGATCTCGATCAAAAGCAGTGCTCCAGAAACAGCAACTTCTGCCATTTTCGTTTTTGTTAGTATGCGAGGTGCTGACGATTAGAGCAAATTTACAAAATAGAAAGTGCAGAAATCTGGAGGAAAATATTCGACATATAAAATGGGAGTAATATGACACTTTCAATCATATGCTGACGATCTAATCGGAGCAAGTTGAATATTAGTCGAAAACGACATGGAAGATTACAGAGCTCGGTTGGTTTCGAAGGAAATTACTGGAAAAATATAATACCAAATGGTTACTGTTACATGGCTACGTGCATTGAAGGATTTGAGAATACAAAGTAATTTAAAATAACTTGTGAAATTTCAAAGATTAAACAACAGCTCAAAAACCTAAATGAAAACGAGAGATAAATAATATGAAATTCCTGGTACAGAAATTAATGAATTCATCAATGCGGAATTGATAATTGATAATTGGTAATCAAAACGAAGCTAACAGGAAAAGCGAAACCCTAAAAAGTCTTCGTCGTCGTCATGCGAAAGCGGACAAAAAACAACTTTGAGAAATAAAACAAAAAACCATCGTCGTCTTGTCAATTTTACCTGGTTGTGTAATTAAGAGCTGCTTTAATTGGGGTTTTAAACTCCACCATACAAGTTGCCCTTTGACAGTGATTTTGGACAAGTAGACGCCGATCGGGACATGAGTTGACGATAAAACGCGCAGATTCCCGACATCTATCAACATCAGGGAAACCGCCTAATGTTGAATTTTCCATCTCCGGAATCCTTCTCCGGTGTAGGCCAGTGAGAGAAGCCGCCGATGTTGATTATCGTAGAACCCGTTGAACTCCACGATATATTTGTGCTACTATAGGGACTCGAACACGAGCTCCTTCTGATGAAGTTCTAAACGATATATTTGTGCTAGTCAATTTAGCTCAACACAGCTATCCACGATATATTTGTGCTTCTGATGAAGTTCTAACTTACCTAACCAGCTAGGCAACAGTCAATTTAGTTATAAATTCTTATTTAACAATACTGGGGAAAAAATAAACAACTACGCGCTGCTACCATGACTCGAACACGGGTCTATTGGGTAATAGACAAAACGCCTGACCAACTAGGTTACAGCGAGTTTGTTAACTAGTACTTATTTAAGTATATTCATTCAATTCCGTTATACTGGGCAAAAAAAAAAAAAAATGAACCGGACGACCGGTCCAGAACCGGCGTCTGGACCGAACGTCCGAAGTAATTTTCCACGCCCAAAATGAGCGTGGGGTAAGCAGTTTCCACGCCTGGTTTAGGCGTGGAAACTGCTTTCCCACGCCCATTTTGGGCGTGGAAAATTCGAAAACCCAACACTAAAAACAGCCCAAAATCGCGATTTTCATGGGATTTTCACATGATTAACCACAAATTCAATATATATAACTACTTTAGATGATTAATTACGTTTCAAATTGACGAGATTTTTAGATTTGGGATGATTTGTGAGAGAGGTTGAAGATTTTTGTGAATTTTGGGGGTTTGGGTAGATTTGAGGATTTTTAGAAAGAGAAAGAAAAGACTATTGTGAACGACATTCGTAATTTTGCTGCCGCGTAAATCATTTCAGAAATTAAAATATATAGATAATCATTGTTCATTGTTTATTTTTTAATTTTTTTGTTATAATATAAATATTTTATAATACTAATAAAGAATTAATTACAAGGAAAAAACCAAAATGAGCTTGGGACTCGAGCTCGAGCTCGTCAAAATCGGGCCAAAAAAATACTCGATAAGTTCGACAAAATGGACTCGAGCTCGAAACAGCCGACCTCGGCTTGTTCACACTCCTAGTATTGATACACCCCCAACTCAAAAGAGCAGCATTTACAGGACACCCTTACTACTTACTACCATCATTCATTTACAAAATTACAAGGGTTCTTCAAAATACAAAAGATCAAACATACATAAACAATCACCATTGTTGCTGATCAAGAACCAATCTCATGTTCCTCAGTCTCTGAGATCTCAAAATACTCAAATGGTGAAGTTCGTACAAAACCCCAATATAACCACTCGATTCTCTCCCAAACCCCCCTCCCATGTACCTTTCGTAACCAACTCTCAACGCCTCGCAAACAGAGTGATGTACATCACAATCAGCACTACCAAAAGTCGCCTCCACGTGATTAAGATAATCACCGAATATTCTCATGCACTCGTCCGCATTATTGTCCACGTGTGGCGGCTGCGGTGCCGTCATCATCATTTCGTACGACGTGGAGGCGGGGCCCACTTGGACGACCATCGGTTTGAATATAAAAGTTCTGCACTCCCCGAGAGGAAATGGCTCGTCGGATCTGGAACCCGAGCCTCGTTTGTTTTCGTAGCCTGGGTAGTCTTTGATCTTGAAATTGTCTAACCCAACGAGAACTAACGAACACTCTAATGCTAGCTCCTCGATTCGCCAGGTGTCGAATGGAGCTGTGATCTTGTGGTTGATGTGAATTTCACCGTCCGGCCACAGCATTGTTTTTGCGTTCCACAAGAACCCTCGTACTAGATTCCTATGCATCCTGTACTTTTACGACACAATAACAGATCGATGTACACTTGTTTCTTCAATTGTATATATAATAACAGAACAGAGGCTTACGTAATAAGATCGGGATTACTTTCACCACCGAAAAAGCCGGCATGAGGGAAATTGTAAATAACGCGGTGAAATTTCCTCCATTGAAGAGCAGGGTGAGTGTTCATCGTGGTTGCATCCACTCCATGTAAAAGGGATGCCCCTAGGTATTCCAAAACCCCCAAATTCACTTTCACATTCTTGTATTTCACCACCAATTCATCTGAAAGCAAAAGAATTCATCGCTACACTTACTTACACGTCGAACACGAAAAATAGAGGACGGAACAAATACGACATCATCGAGGAAAATTTAATCACGAAATTACGACAATTGTATTTGGTTAAACTATAAGAAAGGAAACAATTGATGAAGCAGTAAACTCAAAACAGCAATAAAAACAAGGGTTTTTGTTTTCCCTTTAACTAAAACCATAAGACATTTTTTTACAATCAAAAATCAAAATTCAAAATCACACATTCATCATTCTCAAACTGTTATCCCCAAAACAGTACACCAACCCCCACCCCCAAAAATAAATAGGCAAAAAACTCATATTAAATTACAGACCGGAAAAATGAAATTGAGAGTAGAATATGAAGGAATATACCATAAGAGTCGAGAGAAGTGGCAAAAATGTTGGCGGCGGAACCAAAAGCCAAAGACAAACACCATGAAAAGGAGAAATCTCCTTCGCCAACTAAAAGTATACTGTGGCGAGATGAATAGTGCTTTATCCATTTCTCTTCTCTCATTCCTTCCATCAACATCGATTGATGCTGATGATGATGATGATTTTGATGATGATGTTGTTGATGATGATGGCTCATGGCTATGGGGGGTTTCTTCTCCTTTGAAAAAGTTGCTGCTTTTTTTGATTTATCAGTCTTCTCTTTTTCTACAGCGAAATCATTTGAAAAAAATATTAAAAAGATCCGTTTGTTTCTTCTTCCTTTATTCATGGACTTTAGTGCAAATGACCGATTTACCCTTGGTGGATTACGTGGTTGAGTGGCTTCTCCCCGGGAATATGGAGGGTCACTTTGGGAACTGTGTTCGCATTGGCTTATTGGGAAAGTTTTTTGCATTGGTACACTTGCTTCAACCTTTTACAATGAAGTTTTATTTTTCACATTTTTTACAATGTTTTTTAACAACGATTTTGTACAACAATTGATTAATTAATATTGGCAAAGAAATAATTTTGTTCATTTTTTTTAGCATACAAAACCTAAATGATGATTTTTTTTTTGGATAATTTGATATAATAATAAAATAACGGGAGGTGTTTGCGTATGGCTTATGAGATCCTACACCTGGTAAAATATATCGTGTAGATTTAAACCGTAGATAACATAAATAAGTGTCCACTAAACATAAATACACGCTGGTGTGCCGTATGTGCGTTATTATGTATAAATCAATGGTGTATAATATATGTTTCGAAGCAATCAGCAAAAATATAGATCAAGATAATATTCGGTGGCTTATGAATATATTTTTTTTTTACCTTATATTATATATCAAGAATATATTGCGGCAATTACCGATGATTGTCGACAGTCAACCACTAGCGGAGGATCATCGACCGGCACTTCACTGCCGGAGCTCAGGCTGCAGAGAACAATTGATGAAACTGAAGAGAGAGAGAGAGAGAGAGAGAGAGAGAGAGAGAGAGAGAGAGAGAGAGAGAGAGAGAGAGAGAGAGAGTGTGTTACAAATAGTTGGTGAAAATGTTTCTTTGATAGTTGCTAGTTTTTGGTTGAGGACAAGCAAAAGTTTAAGTTTGGGGGTGTGTTGAGTGTGTATTTTACACTCAATGTATACTTTCTTACGCGGATTTTTGTATACTTTTATTGATTTAATGATGCTTAATAAGTGGTTTATTGTATTTTAGGTACAACTTGACGATTTGGAAGTTCCAAGGACGAAACGAGTCAAAAAAGGTCAAAAACGGGCAAAAACGGAAGAAAACAAAATATGCTGAAAATTGGCTGAAAAGTGGTCCGCGCGGCCGTGCCAAATTTAGCCTATTTTTGGCGCGGCCGCGCCAATTGCAGAAGTTGGGCAGAAGGTTTCGACGATTCCCGTGCGGCCGTGTGGGAATTACACTTTTGACAGATGCTTGGAGCGAGAGAACGAAGAATCGAAGACGGAGAATTGACAAATCTTCTTCACAATTCTTCTTTTATCTATCTTTTCTTAATCTATGTTTTTTTATATTTTTATTATGTTTTTCGTATAGAACATGAGTAGCTAAGTTTTTAATCTAGGATTTTGTTGGAACCCTATGTGGGGATGGTGAACCCGTATTCTTGAGATTATGCAATTATGGTTTTATGATTATTTCTTCTACTTGTTATGATTGTTAGTGCATGAACTTGATCAATTTATGTGCTTTATCTGTGATTATTGTGATTGACTCGACATAGCTATTTTGATAATTAGACGGTAAGTAGAAGAACCTTCGAGTAGTTTTCACCGGATGAGTGTGTCAATTGCATGTGGTGTCGTATACATACAGATATCACCTTAGGTAGCCATTTACGAGACTTGTTAGTTAATGTTTTATTCATAATTTGTTTGCATAGACATATAGTGAACCGTTTATGAATAATAGACTCATAATACACGCAACAGCAGGTTATGAGTAAATTAGTGTCTCAGATTAATAATCATGAATCATATATTTCATAATTGAGGGGTTTTGGGGGTGCAATTCTTGCATAATGGGAAGATAAAATCTTAGGTCCGTTTTTATTGATATTTTCTCGTGTTTATTTGCTTTCATAATTAGTTTAATTATTTTGTTGATTAAATTTGACAACTTTGCGTAGGCTGGTTAAAAATCATAATTGTTAGAATTTGGTACTTAGAATTAGATAATTTGAGTATTCCATGTGTGATTGACATCCAATTCTCACGAGTCCACTTTTACTATTTATTTACGATACGTGTACTTGCGTGAGGTATTTAGTCCAACAGTGATCAGCAAGACTTGATGAGTATATGGTCACTCAAAATATAATTTTCTTTGCTTTTGTGTTAGTACTTAGTTGTCACAGTCCCCACTAATCAGGACTAGTAATAGTTAAAGTAGACCAGACAATTATAACTCCGTACAAATTACTTTAGTTATATTAATATTCATGACCAATTTGTAGTTATTAAATCTAACCCCACAACAAGTGACTACTATATTTATATTTGGTAATTATTATCAATTAATAAAAAGATTAAGACTAATTAAAGATCACATCAATGACGATTGACGATTGAGAATATAACTATACATTTACACAACAGTCCACATTTCATCCTTTTAATTAATAATACTGGAAAAATCAATGACTAATTAATAGATGACATTATTGGTTTACACAAAAGTATGTTCAATAACAAAACGATTCGTACGCATTAAACATATTACATATATATACACAATACCAACTTAACACTCGATTAAAATTCAAGTGTCGAAAACATGATGAGTTAAAAAAAACATGAACTAAATAACTTAATAATAATAATAATAATAATAATAATAATAATAATAATAATAATAATAATACGAGATCGATCCATCCATGCAATACATATATTTTCATCGATCATTCATCTGAAGTTCTTTTAGTTCCAATTATATCCGAGTCGAAATTTGTATGTCTTGCTAGGGTAGCAATTGAAGTTATTGTCGCCCCCGAATCCACACTTGGTGTTGTACCCTGGATAATCAAAACCGTTAAAATCGACAGCGTCGATCAGCCTAAGCCCGTGCGACAAAGCAAGCGATTCGAGTTTCCATTCCTTGTGGAAACCATTGGTCTTATGTAATATATGAATCTCACCACCTTCACTTATTATCTCTCTTGCACTCTTCATAAACTCGCTCACTAGTTTCCTGTGACGCCTGCATGCACGCACGAACGTGCGTGTATATATCAATATATATATATATACTTAAACAAAATTCAAAATAGTTAGAGATGATTAATATATATATACTGACAGCAGCTGGGCATCACGTGACAATTCCTTGAAAAATCCAGCGAAGGGGAAGTTGAACACGATGCGGTCGAATTTCATTCTTCCAATTATCGGATGGTTCGCTATTTCGGTTGCGTCGATCTCATGCATCACCTTGCACTCCCTAATCTTCAGTTCCATTAGGTTTGATGATGCACTTCTATAATTCCTCATTAGAAAATCTGCATGCATGCATGTACGTAGTACGTAGAACAATATATAACAGATAGATTAATTAATTAATTAATTAAACAAATATGCAAATTAATAAAAATGTACTCTGAGAATCAAGGGAGGTGGCGATCATGTTGGAAGCAGAGCCAAAAGCCACCGCCAAACAGGCGGAGAACGAAAAATCTCCGTCTCCGACGAGAAGTATCCGGTGGCTGCTACTGTAATGCTTAATCCATCTCACGGTTAACTTCGGCGGCTCTTTCACCGCCGGTCTCAAAGAAGAAGATGAACTACTTTTCCCGCCATTTTCACTCACAACCGGACGAGTTTTTGTGTAACTGAATTCATCATAATCTGAGTAACGGTAATAATATTCGCAGTTTCCTGCATAGCGGGCATTATTACGATCACGCGCCGAGTTATTTTCCTCTGCGTCTGTACCATTGCCCAGATTTTGAAGAACACTCTGTAAGATTCCCATTTTTCCTCCGCGCGTGTGAAATAATATGATGACTAGGGAGAAAGAGGTGATCGGTCGTTAGTTTATATATATAAGAATGCATATGTGCATGCATGCATAAATGAAAAACGCGCTTTAATGGTGATTACAATTAATTAATCTGTAATTAATATCATCACCTTGAAATTTGTTTTCTTATATTCCCAAACAGATAATAATAACATTAGAAGACAAACGATGATCAAACTACCCTCTGTCTGTTGATCTCCCCCAGTCCACCATATATTAATTAATATTATATGCTGTGCTGCTAATAAGAAATTCTAAACCTATTTTTTTTTACATGTCGAAAAAGAAAACCTAATTTTTTTTTTTATAATTTAATTGATTTCTACCGCGACACGTGTAATCTCCTATTTTGATTAATTTAGTCTTCACAAACTATGACATGCAACTTAGTACAGTTTCTTCAAGATCATTGATTTTTAATTATATTAAAAAAAAAAACAGATCATTGATTTTTTTGTTTTTTTGTTCTAAAATTCAAGCATTGATCCTCCGATTTGAAGTCCTTTCTCACAAATTTCAGGCTCGATCTACAGAACAACATCATAAATTTGCATCCATTTGTGCTGTACAATCGATTAAGTAGACGTAGAAAAACATAGATGGGAAGAGTTTATTATAAGCATATATACATGTGAAGTATATTAATGATATTATATCATACATGCTGATTGACTTAATTTCCAAAAAAAAAAAAAGATTAATTTGATTGAAATTGATCACATGTTATGAATCAAAATTAATTTTGTTACTAGTAGTATGGTACAAAAGTGACTGCGTTGCGTTTGCCATAGTAACTAAACTACTTTAGTTCATTCATCAACAAATTATAATACAGGCGACCATTTATAAACAAAACGCACGAGCCACCAGTTGAACTAATAAGTGAACAAAATTTTTCCTATTACAATTATCATGTGTTTAAATAATTATTTATCAAATTTATAATATAATATTACTCCTAGTGTCAATAATTTTAGTAATTAATTATAAAGTATTATATTATTGTTTTATGCCCACATTTGTGTCAAACGTTTTATGATATATATACATGGTAAATATTATTTTAATTTAATAAATGGATTAGAAAAGTCTGGTACGCTGTGACCATGTAATAAACACTAATTAATTACATTATTATATTATACTTGCACTGGTCCAAAACAGTGTAGTCTACTCGTTTCATAGAGTTCACAGAAGAGATATAAGAAACAGGGTCGACTGAAAATTGTTTAATTTGGTATATTTTTATCTGAATTTATTTTTCATGGTCATCTTTAATTACAGTGCGATTTTAATTACTGCAATTAATTCATTCATTCAGGCAGTATAATATACATAGTTGTATCATGTATGTTTTGAAAGCAGTAATCAATTTGATCGATGAAGATCCTATATATAATATATTAATATACAATTCACCTTATTAATTATGTTAGTTGAATTGAGAAAAATTTGATGTGTATTCTTCTCCATAGGAGGCACTATTTATACACTTAGAGAGAAAGCTATACAAGGAAATTACTAATTACAATGAAATCAAATCTCCTAACTTATGTAAAGCATATCAAATCAAATCTCTAACTTATGTAAAGTATATCAAATCAAATCCCTAACTTATTTCCTAAGAATATACATTAACAGCCCCCCTCAAACTCAAGGAGGGTGAGAAACCAACTTGAGATTGTAGATCAAATCACGATGACGTCCCTTAGGATGAGGCTTTGTGAAGATATCTGCAAGCTGATCTTTGGAAGAGACCGAGAAGAGCTTGAGAACACCTTGAATAATGTGTGAACGGATAAAATGACAGTCTATCTCAATATGTTTAGTCCGTTCATGAAAGACATCATTGTGACTAATATGGATAGCACTTTGATTGTCACAATGAAGAGGAATGGGAGAGGATGTTGATACTCCTAAGTCCTTGATAAGCCATCGAAGCCAAAGTAGCTCAGATGTGGTATCCGCAAGAGCACGGTATTCTGCTTCAGTGCTGGATCGGGCAACAAATGTTTGTTTCTTACTTCTCCAAGATATTAGAGATGTGCCAAGAAGAAAACAATAACCAGTAGTTGACCTGCGATCAGTGGGATCTCCAGCCCAATCACTGTCGGAGAATGCTCGAAGAACTAGAGGCGACTCAGCAGAATAGAAAAGGCCATGAAAAAGAGTACCCTTTAGATAACGAAGGATGCGTAGAACGGCAGCATAGTGTAGCGATCTTGGAGCTGATAGATATTGACTCACTTGATGAACCGCATATGAGATATCAGGACGAGTGACAGTAAGATAGACTAGACTGCCCACCAAACGCCTATAAAGTGACGGATTTGACAACAGTGTCCCCCCTGAGGGAGTCAAGTGAGTATTTAGTTCAACTGGAGTGTCAATGATCTTGCTATCAGTGAGTCCGGCTTGAGATAAGAGATCAGATGCATATTTGGCCTGAGTAATGTAAAGACCATCTTTGGAGTGAGTAATCTCAAGCCCCAAGAAGTAGCTGAGGTGACCGAGATCTTTCATTTCAAACTGTTGACTCAGAAAATCCTTCAATTCTTGAATTCCACTAGGATCGTCACCAGTTATGATCATATCATCCACATATAAGAGGAGGAAGATGGAGCCTTTGTCAGTGCGACGAACAAATAGGGCAGAATCATAACAACTGGCAGAGTAACCCAAATGAGATATAGTGGAGCTGAATTTGGCAAACCAAGCTCGAGGGGCTTGTTTAAGACCGTAAAGAGCACGACGAAGATGACAGACCTTGTCTGAATCAACAGATAGTCCTGGCGGAGGTTGCATATAGACGTCTTCAGCTAGTTCTCCATTTAAGAATGCATTTTTAACATCCATCTGAAATAGATCCCACTGACTAGCAGCGGCAACGGCCAAGAGAGCGCGAACTGAGGAGATTCGAGCAACTGGAGCAAAAGTCTCCTCATAATCGATTCCATACTCTTGAGTAAAACCCTTTGCAACAAGACGAGCCTTATATCGCTCAATGGATCCATCAGAGCGAGTCTTGATCTTGTAGATCCACTTACACCCAACAACAGACTGTCCCGGAGGGAGAGTAACAAGATCCCAAGTATGGTTTTTAGATAATGCATCAAGTTCCTCTCTCATGGCATTCTGCCATAAAGGGTCGGTGGAAGCCTCATGATAGGAGTTAGGTTCGTGCAAAGTGGCAAGAGTAGTGTAACAATGATAATCAAGTAGATGAGAAGGAATAGATCTTACCCTATTTGAATGGCGAGGCGGTAGATGGTCTGTACGATCCTCAAGCGGAGCAGGAGCAAGGGACTCATGTTCAGAACTGGGCAGTTCGTGTGCGACCTGTTCATTTTCCACCTGTTCATTTAGGGTTGGGCTGGAGCGAGGAGTAGAAGTATTTTCAAACAAGTCGATAGGAGAAGGAGACTCGTCCAAAGATATATCTAACTCGGGTGAGGCACTTAAAGAAGGACGAAAATGTGAGAGTTCAACAAAAAGACGATGTTCCCAAAAGACAACATGACGAGAGACACGAAGACGATGAGAGATAGGATCATAACACCGATAGCCCTTTTGAGTTTCTCCATAACCAAGAAAACAACAAAGGCGAGATCGAGGCTCGAGTTTGTTGTGTTCGTGTGGTTGAAGAAGAACAAAACAAGCAGTACCAAAAGAGCGGAGGTGATGATAGTCTGGAGATTTCATAAAGAGTCGCTCGTATGGAGTTTCATTTTGGATAACAGGACTTGGTAAACGATTGATAGCATAAATTGCATTCAAGGCAGCTTCACCCCAAAATGGAGAGGGAATTTTTGCAGAGAGAAGGAGAGCACGAACAGTGTCAAGAATATGACGAAGTTTTCGCTCGGCTCGACCATTTTGCTGAGAGGTCCCTGGACAACTAAGGTGATGAATAGTGCCATAGGAACGAAGGATATTTTGAAAGGCATTTTGAGTATATTCAAGAGCATTATCAGATCGAAAAGTTTTGATGCGCTGTGAAAATTGAGTTTCAACCATTTTTGCAAAATTATCATATATTGACAATAGTTCTGAGCGAGATTTCATAAGAAAAATCCAACTATAACGAGAATAATCATCAATAAAGACAACAAAATATCTAGAACCACCAATACTAGTAACGGGGGAGGGACCCCAAACATCAGAATGAACTAAGTCAAAAATTTTATTGGAAACTGATGAACTAGTATTAAATGGTAAGGCTGGTTGTTTACCCAACTGACACGAGGTGCAATCAAAATGTTCTTTAGACACAGAACCTAACACACCTTTAGAAGCTAATTGCTGAATACGAGATGTAGGAGCATGACCAAGGCGAGAGTGCCATAAAACAAGGGAAGGTGAAGAAGATGTAGGTGTAACAGCAGCAGCAACAGAGATAGGAGCAACAGGTGGAAGACGAAGATTATCCACGGGAAACATACGCCCAATTCTAGGCCCGGTCCCAAGCTCCTGTCCCGTCCTCGGATCCTGAACAATACATCCAGAGTAGTCAAAAGTAAGACGGTAGCCTAGTTCAGCTAATTGTCCCACAGAAAATAGATTATAAGATAGGTCGGGAATGTGAAAAACGTCGGGAACTAGAATATTTGAAGTTGAAACCGGCCCTAAGTTTTTACCATGTAAAGTGGAACCATTTGCTATATGAATGTTTAAAGGGTGTTGAGCAGGTTCAAGTTTAGAAAACAAGGAGGAGTGAGGGGTCATATGGTTGCAACATGCTGAATCGAAAAGCCAAGTTTGAGACTTACCAGGCAGGACTGAGAGAGCAGTGGAAAGAGATGCATTACCAGCCATACGAATAGCCTGAGTTATTATATCTTGTAGTTCAGGTGATGTAAGATGTATAGTGGATCCAGAAGACTGGGACACGGCTGAGGTGGAAGTCATTGGCGGAGTGGACTCGGTAACTGCAACGGTGGATTTGTTCCGAC